TGTTTCCACAAAAACCTAAAACACAAATACAAGAAACAAAGCCAAGGAAGACAACGTGACTCCTCAAAAGGAATACAACACTTCAGTATTAGACTGTGGAGTCAAAGAGATTGATGAAATGCCTGAAAATAAATTCAAAGAATGATCAGAAAATTACTCAGAAATACAGAGAAATTCATGAAATAAAGAGATCCATACATGGTATTAATGAAAAATTTTGTTGAGAGATTGGGATACGGAAGAGAAATCAAAATGAAATATTAGAAACGAAGAATTCAGGGCCCAGTGCTGTCACATACTGTGTGCTGGCATTCCATATGGGCACCAGTTCTAGTCCTGGCTGCTCCACTTCTGATACAGCTCTCTGTTATGGTCTAGAAATACAGTAGAAGGTGGTTAAGACTTTGGGTCCCTGCACCCACGTGGGAGACCTGGAAGAAGTTCCTGGCTCCTTGCTTTGGATCAGCCAAGCTCTAGCCATTGCAGCCTTTTGAGGAGTGAACCAATGGATAGAAGACCTCACTCTCTCTCTCTCTCTTTCTGTCTCTATAACTCTTTCAAATAGATAAATAAAACATTTAAAAAAATTCAGTATGTCAAATAGAAAATATAGTGGAAAGTCTGAACAGCAGACTCGGTAAGGCAAAAGAAAGAGTATCTTACCTTGGACAAATCCCTGGAAATAACTCAGTCAGACAACAAAAAAAGGAAAAAAAAATTTAAAAACTGAAACTTGTGCTCAAGATTTACTGGATACTATCATGACCAAATATGTTTTTAGGAGTTCCTGAGGAAAGAGGGAAGGGATTAAAAGGCTGATTCAGCTAAATAATACCAGGAAACTTCCCTAATCTGGAGAAACAAAGGGACACCCATGTACAGGAGGCACATATGACACCTAACAGACATGATCAGTAAAGATCTTAAAATGATACATTACAGTCAAACTTTCTATGGTAAAACAAAGGTTAGATTCTACACTGTGCATGAGAGAAATGCCCAGTTACCTTCAGAGGCTCCCCAATTAGACTAACAGCTGATTTCTCATCAGAAACTCTATTGGATAGGACAGAATGGAGAGACATAGCATTATGTAGTGATCAAGGGATCAAGTCACCAGGAAAATGTGACTATAGTAAATGTATATGCACTCAATGCCAGGGAGCCGGGCTATTTAAGACATATGTCAGTGGATCTAAAGGGAGACATAGACTCCGATACAATAGGAAAGAAGGACTTCAACATCCCACCTTCATCAATCAACAGATCAACTAGACAAAAAATCAACAAAGAAACAACAGAGCTAATCGACACCATGGACCAAATAGGCATAACTGATATCTACAGAACTTTCCATCCCACAGCTGAAGATTACACATGCTTTTCATCAGTGCATGGAACTTTTTCTAGAATAGACCATATGCTTCTAAAAAGGAAGTCTCAAAAAATTATAAAAAAAAACTGAAGTCATATTACATATCTTTTTCTGAATGAACAACTTAAGAAACTCTAGAAAATATGCAAACACATGGAGACTGAACAGTAGCCTCTTGAACAAGCAGGGGCTCACAGAAGAAATCAAAAGGGAAATCCAGAAATTTCTGGAAATAAGTAAAGATGACAATACAACATATCAAAACTTATGGGATATGGCAAAAGCAGTGTTAAAAGGGAAATTTATAGCAATTAGTGCCTACATCAAGAAGCCGGAAAGGCATCAAATAAATGAGCTATCAATGCATTTCAAGGACCTAGAAGACAACAATAAACAAAACCCAAAATTAGTAGGAGGAAAGAAATAATCAAAATTAGAGAAGAAATAAAATTGAAACAAAACCAATACAAAAGATCAGTGAAATGAAGAGCTGGTGTTTTGAAAAAAAAAAAAAAAAAACCTGATATACCATTGGCCCAACTAACCAAAAAAAAAAAAAAAAGGAGAACACCCAAGTCAATGAAATCAGAGATGATAAAAGGAGATGTAACAACAGATGCCACAGAAATAAATCATCAAGAATTACTATAATCAGCCATATGCCAACAAATTGGAAAATCTAGAAGGAATGGATAGATTGCTGGACACATACAATCTATGAATTTAGTCACCAATGCATAGAAGACGTAAGCAGACCAATAAGCTAGAAGGAGATTGAATCAGAAAGAAGGACCCTCCCAACAAAGAGAAGCCCAGGACCAGACGCCTTCACTGCTGAATTTTACAATACTTTTAAAGAAGAACTAATTCCAGTTCTTCTCAGGCTATTCAACACAATTGAAAGGAAGGGAATCATCTCAAACTCCTTATATAAGGCCTGCATCACCTTAATTCCTAAATCAGAAAATGATATAACAGAGAAAGAGAACTATAGATCAGTTTTCCAGGTGAACCCAGATGCAAAAATCCTCAACAAAGTACTGGCTAATTGAATCCAACAAAACAGCAGAAAAATCATTCATCTGGTATGCAAAGATGGGTCAGCATATACAAATCAGTAAACGTGACACATCACATTAACAAATTGAAGAATAAAAACCATAGGATTATCTCAATAGCTGTAAAGAAAGTATTTGAAAATACAACATCTTTTCATGAGAAAAACTTTAAGGAAACTGGGTATAGAAGAACTTTATTCGACACAATTAAGGCAATATAAAACAAACCCACTGCTATCAACTTATTAACTGGGGAAAAGTTGGAAGCATTCCCACTAAGATCTGGAATCAGACGAGGATGCCCACTTTTGCTATTGCTGTTCAATACAGTTCTGGAAGTTTTGGCCATAAGAAAAAGAAATGAAAGGGATATACATTGGAAAGGAAGAAGTCATATTATCTCTGTTTGTATATGACATGATCCTCTGTGTAGGGGAACCAAATGTTTTACTGGCCAGGGCTGTGGCATAGTGGGCTAAGCCTCCATCTGTGGCACCAGCATCCCATATGGGCACTGGTTCAAGTCCCAGCTGCTCCTCTTCTGACCTAGCTCTCTGCTATGCCATGGGAAACAGTAGGATATGGCCCATGCACTTGGGTCCCTGCCCCCATTTGGGAGACCTGGAAGAAGCTCTTGGCTCCTGGCTTCAGATAAGGCCAGCTCTGTCCATTGCCTCTATTTGGGGAGTGAACCAGCTGATGGAAGTCCTTTCTCTCTGTCTCTCCCTCTCTCTCTGTAACTATACCTCTCAAATAAATAAATAAATCTTTAAAAAAAAAAAGGCTCCACTAAGAGACAACTGAAACTCATAACAGAGTTTGGTAAAGTGACTGGATATAAAATTAACACACAAAACCAGTAGCCTTTGCATTCACAGACAGTGCCATGGCTGAGAAAGAACTTGTAAGATAAGTCCCATTTACAACAGCTACAATAATTTTTAAATACCTGGTAATAAATTTAACCAAGGAGGTTAAAGATTTCTACAATGAAAATTACAAAATATTCAAGAACAAAATAGAAGAAGGCAAACATGTACACAAAAACATAAAAATCTTCCATGTTCACAGATTGGATGAGTTCATATCCTCTAGCTATCCATACTATAAAAAGCAATTTACAGATTCAATGCAATCCCAATCAAAACACCAATGACATCCTTCTCAGATCTAGAAAAAATGATGCTAAAATTCATATTGGCTCAATATGAGACCCCCAAATAGCTAAGGAAATCTTAAATAGCAAAAACTAAGTTGGAGGCATCATAATAGCAGATTTCAAGATATACTACAGGACACATATAATCAAAACAGCCGGGTACTGGCACAAAAATAGACATGGAGACCAATGGAATTGAATAGAAACCCCAGAAATTAATCCATACACTTACAGGCAACTTATTTTTGGCAAACATGCTGAAATCAATCCCTGGAACAAGGACAGTCTCTTCAACAAATGGTGCTGGAAAAATTGGATCTATGTATGCATAAGTATGAAACAAGACCCCCACCTTACACCTTATACAAAAATAAACTCTAAATGGATCACAGATCTAAATCTGTGAGTTGATACTACCCAGTTACTAGAGGGAAGCTTTGGGGAATCTTTGCAAGACATTGGTGTAGGCAAAGACTTCTTGGAAAAGACCCCAGAAGCACAGGCAGCTACAGCAAACATGACAAATGGGATTACATCAAGCTAAGAAGCTCTGCACGGCAAATGAAACACTCCACAAAGTTAAGTGGCAACTGGCAGAATAGGAGAAAATATTTGCAAACTATGCAACCGATAAATGATTAATACCCAGAATCTGTAAAGAGCTCAAGAAACTCAATAACAAAAACAAACAATGCAGTCAAAAAGCATAAAGGACTTGGACAGGCATTTTTTTTTTTGACAGGCAGAGTGGACAGTGAGAGAGAGAGAGACAGAGAGAAAGGTCTTCCTTTGCCGTTGGCTCACCCTCCAATGGCCGCCGCGGCCGGTGTGCTGCGGCTGGCGCACCGCACTGATCCAATGCCAGGAGCCAGGTGCTTATCCTGGTCTCTCATGTGGGTGCAGGGCCCAAGCACTTGGGCCATCCTCCACTGCACTCCCTGGCCACAGCAGAGAGCTGGCCTGGAAGAGGGGCAACCAGGACAGAATCCGGCGCCCTGACCGGGACTAGAACCGGTGTCGACGCCACAGGCGGAGGATTAGCCTATTGAGCCACGGCGCCGGCCTGAACAGGCATTTTTCAAAGGATGAAATACAAATGGACAACAGACACATGAAAAAATGCTCAGGCTCAGTAGCCACCAGGGAAATGTGAATAAAAACCACAATGAGGGGTGACCTCTCCCCTGTTAGAATTGCTATCACCCAGAAATCAACAAACAATGAATGCTTCTGAGGATGTGGGAAAAAAGGTACTCTAATCCATTGTTTGTGGGCATGTAAACTAGTACAACTGTTATGGAAGACAGAATGGAGGTTCCTCTGAGAGCTGAAGATAGATCTACCATATAACCCAGCCATCTCATTGCTGGGCATTTACCCAAAGGAAATGACATCAGCTTACAAAAGAGTTATTTGTACCCCCATGTTTACTGCAACTCCATTTACCATAGTTAAGATATGAAACCAACCCAGATGTCCACCAACTGATGACTGGATAAAGAAAATGTTGCATATATACACCATGGTATGATACTCAGCCAAAAAAAAGAAAGAATGAAATCCTATCTTTTACAACAACATGGATGCAACTGTAAAACATGCTTAGTGAAATAATCCAGTTTCAAAAAGACAAATATCACACGTCCTCTCTGATATGTGACAATTAATTTAGAATATAAACAATCTATAGGAATTGGTCACTTTGGGATATGATTGTCATTTTTAGCTTGTGTGTATGCCCTCGTGGAACTATGGTCTTCCTATTTTGTACTTATTTAATATTATGATTAGTGGTGCATTAAGCCTGTGAATATAGACTGTTTAAAATTATGTCCTTGCAAAAACTGAAGAAGAGAGAGGAGGGACAGAGAGGAGTTGGGGCGGAGCAGGGAGTGAGGGGAGTGTAGTTGTCTGTTTATACCTATGGAATGCATAAAATCTGTTCTTTCGGCCAGCGCCACGGCTCACTAGGCTAATCCTCTGCCTGCGGCACCAGTACCCTGGGTTCTAGTCCCAGTTGGGGCGCTGGATTCTGTCCCAGTTGCTCCTCTTCAGTCCAGCTCTCTGCTATGACCTGGAAAGACAGTGGAGCATGGCCCAAGTGCTTGGGCCCTGTACCCGCATGGGAGACCAGGAGGAAGCACCTGGCTCCTGGCTTCGGATCCGCACAGAGCGCCAGCCATGGTGGCCATTTGAGGGGGTGAACCAACGGAAGGAAGACCTTTCTCTCTGTCTCTCTCTCTCCCTAACTCTGCCTGTCAAAAAAAATCTGTTCTTCTATATTAATAATTTTTTTCAAAAAGCCTCAAACATTTCCCATCTTTAACAGTATATATGGGATAACTGCTCCTGTAAAAGTTGAGATGAACAGGTAATTTTATCAAATTCTAGTTCAGTTCTATGCTTTTTTAAAAAAATCTTTTAATGTCTTCTGTTTTCTAATAGGACATAGTATAACAGAGAAATGAATAAACAAGTAGCTAACAATAATAACAGAAAAACTTGGACAGATGTAATGATTAGGATGGTTACATGTATTGATATTAAAAAAAGGTCCTCGTTATCATGGCCAAACTGATGATATACAAAAGCTAGAATGTTCTACACTGATCCTCATGTATGACTGCAGGCACTCTCCCACCTGAAAAAGCCTAGGAATCACTCACTCAGCTTCTCGTAGGGCTGTGCCTAAACATACAAATAGAATCCTAAGCTACTAGACGCAAGCATTCCGGGTTTTTTTCCCCCTCTGGCTTATCTCGATGATGGCATAGGTAGTAAGAGACTGTAGTGTTAGCTTTGGGTGTTCTGCTTTGATCTGCAGGCCACACACATTTCTACCTCATATGACCAGTCCACACAAACTATTTCTGATTATGTTCAATAAGTATAAAATTCCTCTAAAACACAACTAACTGCCCTCTGAGCGCCAATGCACTAGGGATACATGAATATTGAGTAAGATCACGTGGTCCTGTAAGATTTCCCAACTCCCCTGGCTCACATTAAGCCACAAACCAAGGCCCATTCCATTTCACACTTACTTTCATTTCTTGTAAACAATAGCCCAGTAACAATAAAGCCATCATCATCAAAATTTCCTTTTAATATCTCACTTAAATTTCATTGATATTGCCTCCCACTTAGATTTCAGGGATAACAATGGAAACATTACTCAGCTGGGACTCAGGAGAACTTTGTGCGATCCATGGATCTCTCCCTACCTGGACTGCGTGGTTTGGGCAAATCTGAGTTCAGTTTTCTCAAAAACAAAGTAGGAGAACCAACATGTCTCAAAAGCTCACCACAAGGAATATCATGACATGAAATGTATGGGCATTGTAAATTGCAAAGTATTATTTCCGTGTACGCTGTTCTTATTGTGATTTTCAGAATCGCTATATTCTATCAGAGGTCTTCAAAAATCTCATGGAAAATGTGCATTATCTTTTAATTGCATTATCTTTTAATCACATTTTCCAGGAACTTTTGGGTACCTCATCATATTACAGTACTGCAAGTGTGCAATTTTTAAAATGTGGACTTTCTGGGACATAAAATTTGGTATTTCGGACAGAAATTGCAATAGATAATGCTGCCAAGCAAAATAAAAAACAGGTTGAGATGAAAGTGATTAGGATGCCCCTTTTCTATGTTGGCCACTCTTAAAATGAGAGGATTTATTAACACGTAGGTAAGACTGTCATTAAAATTAACTTATGTGGCTGCAGTAAGATGCTCACAGCCTAAAACTTAAAAACATGGCAGTTCATTCATGCATAGCTATGCTTTTTTCTTTCAACCATTGCCATTCAAATAATTGTTTAAAAATATTGAACTGCCAGCTACTTTATACACGGTTTTATTTTTCAGTGGCCTCTAGCAAGGATGAGCATGAATTTGAGCTATGAAACCTAATGTCAAGCCTCCATGGGCTAAGAGTGCTCAGTGTAGCACCTGCTATCAACCCTAACGCTGCTCTTCAGTGGTTTCTTTTCTCAGACGACTCCCACACTGGTTAAGTGCTTCGGACACATCAATTATGCACAGTAAATCTGGCATTCATCACGAATTCACCTAGAAAATCCTGTTTCACAGGTGAACTTGCTTTTCATCAGGAATTAGCAGAAGCCATAATAACTAATCTTCCATAATGTATCTGTTTATTTTCTTCTGAAAAGTCAGATCGGGTACTTCCTTGATGTGAAGTCTTGTCAAACATTTCCTGCTGTCTTCCATTCTCTGTGCTTAGCTTAGCAGACGGCATGCGCTGGGGCTGTGTCTCTGAGTCTTCACCTAAAATTTACCTTTAAAAACAAACTAGGAGCTCTCCTCTGCGTATCTCATTGTTTTCAGAGCTGAGTCTTCCCCCAAAAGTTTGCACAGTTCATTGAGTCTCTGCTGCATTTTGGGAATTCCGGCGAGCTGAGATTCCAGCTTTTGTTTTTCTTCACTCAACGTCAAACGGATAGCAGTGTCCAGCTGTTCAAAACGCCAGCCTCCTTGACCGTCAAACTGTAATAAGTGAGTGTGGTATTTCCTGCAGAAGTAAAGTGAAATCATATCATTAGCCATAAATGTGACAAGCCACTTTAGTTATTGGTTCATAATCATAATTGACATTCAGAGGAAAATTTTAAGTGAAGGTACCTATTTTACATTTGATTTTCAAAGATACCTCAAAAGTTAAATATGATTTTTAGAAACATGTATTTGAAAGGCAGAGTGACAGAGAGAGGGAGAGACAAAGAGAGAAGGAGAGAGAGATATTTCCGTCTACTGCTTCACTCCCCAAATGGCCACAGCGGCCCAAGGTGAGGTCAGGCTGAAGACAGTAGCCTGGAGCGCCATCCAGACGTCCCATCCCACGTGGTGACAGGGACACAGGTAACTGGGCCATCATTTTATGCTTTCTCAGGTACGTGAGTAGGGATCTGATGGGAAGCAGAGAACTCAACTTCGATAAGAGATGCTGGCATTGTAAATGGTGGCTTAACCTGCTCCGTCTCAAATATTATCTGGTACCAAATATTATGATTATTTTTAAACCCAAAAGTCATTCATCTACTCTTGAGGAAATTCCTGTTAATTCATTATTTCATATTCTGAATGTGCATGGATTACAGAAGTCCTGCTGTTGCATGTGTTTAATTTGTTTTCATGACCCAGTGTGCCTCCTGAGTAAATGATAAAGCACACTTAGGTTAGGATAAGGAAACAGAACTGAGAAAATAAAGTGAGGAGAAAAAAAGGGATGCCAAGACAAACTAAGGAAAATAAAGGAAAATGCAATAGCAATTCCTTAAAATGCCATCTTTGGGGAATGAGTTCTTTAACATAAGTAAAACTTCCTCAATGATTCAAGTTTTAAAACATTTTATAAAAAGTGAACACTCAGAATGGAACCTTTTAAAGATATTTCCACATCTTCATGTATTTTAATTTTTCTTCTCACAGCTCAGCTTCCTACCTGGAGCTTCACGGAGCCACAGAGAAACTTCCCTGGTGAGAGAGGGGAAGGCCCAGCTCCTCTGAAAAGACCGAGCGGCCCCGTTCCTGGGCCCTGTGGGCCGTGTGTGCTGACAGCCGGGTCGGTGGCTCAGGTCCCTGGTGGCTGAGCCCCCTGCACTTTGTCACTTACTGAACTGCACCAGGTAAGACCTTCACGTTTTCTTTTTTTTTTTTAATTTATAGAAAGATCACAGATTTCATGTATTTCATGTATGTGAAGTCCAGGCAGTCTGTCCCTGGAGAGACCAGAGAAGCAGGAGCCCATCACCCAGTGCCACTTAATCTCTACGGAGATAAATCGTCGAGTTCTACAGGCAGGGCCGCTTGGAGAAATGCTGAGGGGAAGAAACGCCCCTCCACTCCCTGCTCCCCAAATATCTGAAGGCTTGCCTGAAGAGGGAGAACAGACTGTGAGCTTCCCAACAGAAGTGCAGTCTCAGACTTGGACAAGGCAAGTCGGGTGTGAAGGCAGTAATGAATTCGCTCCTCATTGTAATGTAAACATGCTCTGTGAGATTGGAGGTCTCCAGGCTCTGAGGATTAACTAGTCTCCTTTTACTGCCATGGACGCCAAGACAGCTTTGCCATGGGATCTCATCCGCCACCTGCCACAGGGAGACAAGAGGAGCCTCTGCTGTCCCTTGACAAACAGGGGGACAGCGTCTGTAGAGTCAGAGAAGAGAACCAAAACGCGCATATGTGGGGAGGGTGAACGCAGCATGAGTGGAAAAGTGTTTGTGGGGTTCACACAGGAGAGAGATGGCAGGTTCATTAGACAGACACAGCCGTGTACACTGTAGCACACACTCACTGTGTGATCTCTGCAAGGCGTTGTCCTCGCTTTTCTCAGTTTCTCGTCTGTACAAGTGGGAAGTCAGACGACGAATTCTCCGCAGGGTGGCTGAGGGCTTAAGTGCAGTGAGGGAACAGAGGGACACTATCTCTTCTTTCCCCACCAGCATCATGACTGAGTCAGTGGAAAAGCCAAAGGATCATAAAATACAGGCTTACGATTTTTAAAAATGAAAATCTCACTGTTTCATGAGATATTATAAAAATTTTAGCTCATTTTCCTCACTGCAAAACAGAAATAAAAATTTTTCCCCTAATTATCTTCATTGATTTAATTATTTAGGAGAAACTAAGTTGTGGTATTTTTTTCTTGGGTTTTAAAGAAAGGACTGAAAGAACAATGGAAAAAATATATTCTTTCCCAGGACATGCTATGGAATTATAAAAATATTTTCAGTTCAAATAAATCATTGTTTTGTTTTGTCACATTTTTTCAGGATTATTGAAAAGTGCTGGTAACTGCCAAATATTACAGCTATAGCACGAGGCTGGGGTATCTAAACTGCTAGTGTGCAACTTAGCAGAAACGCAGGTCGAAAGCAGCCAGTGACGTGCCCTTTCCTTCCCAGTGAAAAGTGTAGCAAACGTATTATTTCAGAAACAGAAGCAGAAACCATGTATCACAAGTTACAAAGCAACCGGAAATACTTACCAGAGAGAAGGCCTGTGTGTGATAGACAATAAGGAGATTCCAGCCCCTTTCGCAGCCTGAAATATCTTCCCTTCCACGTCAATGCTGACAGCACTGGTACATTCATCCAGCAATGCATATTTTGGTCTTTAAAAAAATAAACACCAATAAATCAATGATTTTTCCTGTTTGAATTCTGAATTTTTCTTTGGACAACATGAGTTGCAATGCTAACAACTGCAAAGGAGCCAGAGAGTGTGACAGGTTTTTATTTTAATTGAGAGACAGAGACAGAGACATATGTGGAGCGTTCCCATCTGCTGGTTCATGCCCCAGATCCGTGTAACTGCCAGAGCTGAGCTGGGCCAAAGCCCTCAGACCCCGTCCAGGTCCCCCACCGTGGGTGGCAGGGATCCAGGTACTGGAGCCATCACCACTGTTCCCAGGTGGGACTCAGGATCTGGGTCAGCTGTGGAACCCAGGTATTCCTAACTGCTAGGCTAAACGCTCGCTCTGAATATGACATTATTTAAGGCTCTTAAGTGAGAGAAACAAAACAGCAGCTTTACTCTTTAAAAAAAAGCGGTTATCCCCCTGTGCCCTCTAAGTAGACTTTCTGACCCTTGCTCCCGATACAAAGGGCTGCATTGTCCCGCATGTGAATGACTCACAGCTAGGGAGCACAGGTGGCAGAGTGCACATCCTGCAGAAGGAGCCTCATCCCTCGTGACCACAGTCTGACTAATTACATGAAAAACACACTCAAGTGGCTCCTTATTCAGCAGGCCCCAGTCCTCGCTGGCAAAGACTTAATGAGAAGATTAGCTCAGCCGCAAGGTGAACACCTAGGCATTACTAATACCATTTCATCACAGCCCGGCTCTGCAAGCGTGAATGAGCCTGCTTGCAGGGTCAGGGCAGACGTTGCTCTCACGACACTGCGACCCTGCCCCAGAGTCCCACTCCTGGGGGACAATCCGTGAAGTGTTTTTCCTATTGTACTTGAGAATTTCTTTTCCTAGTTCGGTTTCCATGCTGGTGACTGGTGCATCTGTGAGAGCAACCTTTCCCCCGCCCAGGCTTCCTCCTGCTCCTCCCTCTTTTCACACCCCCCCCCCCCCAGCTCCTGTCTTTGTCTTTTCCCTTTCTTCTTTCCAAAGCCTCTCCAGCCTGTAGGTCTATCCGAGGGTACTTCAAAAAGTTTGTGGGAAGTGAAATTAAAAGCTGAGTTCATTTTGGTGGGAAAATATCTTGAAGTTCATGAAAGAAAAAACAGCAGGGTTTTTGGTAACAGGCATTTGCCATGAACGTTCTGAAATAACTTCAGAGTTGATGTTCGGCAACATAGCTTCACTTAGCTAACAGGACGAAAGCCAGCCCGACACTGCCATTTGTTATTCATTTTGGGGTTGAAAATCAGTTTCAAGTATTTACTAGGACAATTACTTTCATGAAGATAATCTGATTTAAAAAAAAAATAAATGATGAAGAAAAAAATCGACAGTAATTTCTTGCTCAGCATAACTGATTCTTTAGAGCTGTGAGTGACTTTTCTCAGATGAATGTGTGTAGTGCCATGCTCCTGTCACCTAATCCAGGTGCACAGTCAAGGCTCGCAGGTGCAAATGTCACCAAAAATGCTCTCCACACAAGGAGCGGGAGGATCACTCACATTCCCCGTGACAGCGTCAAGGTAGCTTCGCTAGCAGGCGTCTGGTTATTGTTCTGGTTTAACTCCTTTCTCTCAGATGTGATTACTGTTTTGTGGATGTATAAAATAGGTCTCTGTGTGCAAGGCTCTTTCCAGTGGCTATTTCGTTCATGGTATCTTGTCTTATTTTTCAGTGTGTTTGGAGCTAAAGAGGAAAAAAAATGCTATTTCAGAATTAGAAAAAAACCTATTTGTCTTATACTCTGTTGTCATAGCAACCCCGCTTCTGGCCGAGAGAGGACAGATGCCACAGTTCTGTGTTGCTGGCAGGAGTGGTGTGTGTGTGTGTGTGTGTGAGAGAGAGAGAGAGAGAGAGAGAGAGTGCATGTGCATGGACTGAAATACACAAGCAATGGAGCTGGCCTCTAGTCCCCATATTACTAAACCAGACATGGATAACATTGTTTCTCAGATGATCCTTCCCTCTTCCTTCGACATCGTCAGCAGAACGGGCCCTGGGAAGGACCTGATGCGTCCTCCTTAGTACAGGGTGTTTCCAATCATTCTTTAACCGCTCCATTTAAAATCTCCTCCAAAGGAGTATGCTACTGTGACACTTCGGCTCCCTGCCGGAGCTCCCACGTCAGCTGGCCAGCTCTTCCATGCTAATACTTCAAGGCTTACCGCCAAGGTTCCAGAATGAAGCCAGCAGTTTCTCCGCATCACACACCTTACTTCCTCTGGGTTTATTTTCCTGATTCCTTTGGTCTTTTCTCAGCTACTTGCTCCCCTTCACTGCTCTTCTATGGCTTTCTGACTTTTCGGTCCAAGATGCACCTGTGACTTGATCGTCACTGTCGCTCCCCCTCTTCACAGAGGAACGACACTAAACTCTGCCTAGGCTTCCTATCCGAGTCACGGCACCATTATGTTGCTCCCCCTCTTCGTGGAGGAACGACACTAAACCCTGCCTAGGCTTCATATCCGAGTCACGGCACCATTATGTCGCTCCCCCTCTTCGTGGAGGAACGACACAGGACCCTGCGCTGTTCTTTCGTCTGCTCGGCCCTCCCCGGGTTT